GGGGGGGGGGGTGATAGTGGAGGGAGGGTCTCCCTGCGCATGTGTAGCTCACCAGTCTCGTGACTTCAGGGGAATTTATACGTCGATTTTTTAGATTCACTTCTCTGAGATTTCTTCTCCTCTCAAGTTTTGCCCTTCGAATTCCAGTTGTTTTCTAATCTGAGGCCCGTCAGACTGATACGTTCCACTTGGCCTTGGTTACCCTGCACTGTGAACTGGAAAATGGCCCAAAGAAAAAAGCCACAGTGAATGTGGAGCTCATGTCCTCTTTCCCCCCTTCAGGATCGGAACTTCTCAAGTCCGGCTTGTTTTGTCGGCTCCTCAGAGTCTTCCATTGTTGCCCATATATTTTGTCCGACTTGTATTGCTGTTTTCAGCAGGAGGGTTTTTCCAAATGGGGTGTTCGCGCAGTGCCAGGATTAGAAGTCTCTCACTATTGTGTTTCACATCTAAGATTATCGACAATTATTTTATTTCTTCTTGAGATACATCTTTTAGAATTTCTTGAAAGCAGATCTTTCATAATAACCCCTCAATATTTGTCTGAAAATAAAAATGTTAAGCATCTATAGGTGAGACAGCAGGGAGAGTAGCACTTGTTGGGTAGCTTCCAGTTTTAGACTATATGGGTGGTGCTGCTTTGAACCCTGTAGTTCGTGTCTTTTGTTGGCATGTGTGTGCATTTTTATTGGGTATATACCTAAGAGTGGGATTATTGAATAGCCCTGGTTTGTTTGTGTGTGTTTTTTTGAATTTCAAAATGATTTTTGTAACATTTAAAAATTAGAAAATGTCTAAAGAAAAAAAACTACTGGCCAACCCTCCCCATTTCCTGAAGTAGCCAAATAATGTCCTTATTTTTCCTGTTAGATAAACATAAACATAAAAAATGGAATCATCCCTGGCTGGTGTGGCGCAGTTGGTTGGGCATTGTCTCATGCATGAAAGGTTGCTGGTTTAATTCCAGGTCAGGGCACATGCCCGGGTTTCCGGGCTCGATTCCTGGTGGGGTGAGGGGCTGAAGTGTGGGAGGCAACCTACTGATGTTACGTTCTCACACCGATGTTTCCCTCTCTCTCCCTCTAAAAATCAATAAAAAATCTTAATAAAAAAATAGAATCATAATTTTTCATTGAAAATATAGATTGAAAGCATCCCTCAAGGTATGACAAGCTCATCCTTTATAAGAACTGCATAATATTTTGTAGCATGAATTTTTAATTTTTATTTATTTATTTTTAAATATATCTTAATTGATTTCAGAGAGAGGAAGGGAGAGGGAGAGAGAGATAGAAACATCAATGATGAGAGAGTCATTGATCGAGCCCACAACCCGGGCATGTGCCCTGACCAGGAATTGAACCCCAGTCACCTGGATCCTAGGTCTACGCTCAACCGCTGAGCCACGCCCGGCCAGGCAGTATAGATTTTTTAATAAATTGTTCATTCCTGTGTTCCTGAGTATTTACAAAACTCAATATCTCAAAATTATTTCAGTACTTTAAAGATTTCATGGCAGTCTTCAGGGCAAAATCTGGAAAGGAAAACAGCAACTCTCGGGGAATGAGAAACAGGGAAGGATATAAGATTTAAAATGAAGTTAGTGATGTGAAGTCTGAAACAGAGAAAGAGAGGAAAGAACCTGTTGAAATTTGGGGAGATACAGAAAGAAAACAAAAGGTTTAAGGGAGAAAATGAAAAGAGCACAAAGAAGAGGCGGGAACTTACGGTACAGGAAATTTGTAATTTAATCAGTTTTCTACATCAAGCTGATGTGTGTGTGTGTGTGTGTGTGTGTGTGTGTGTGTGTGTGTGTGTGTTGAAGAGTGATCCTATGATTGCCTTCTTTCGTCCACAATCATCTATTTTGTCCATCATCCCATCAAGTGCACATTACGGAGCCCCCGTTCATGGCCACATGACGTGGAGACTCCAAAGAAGAAAACACTGTTCTTGGCTTACACTCACTCCAGCTGGGAGAATTGTAATGAAACCCTGAAGTAACTACAGGATGTGGTGCTCTGTCCCCTTTACCACTGAACCCACATTGCCGCCCAAGGTCCAGCCTGGACACTGTTTTAGTGTCTGGAGAAAGCTTTTTAATGATCTGTTCACAGGGCCAGCTTGGTCTGGGGATACCCCCTTAGGTAGGCCGAGAACAGGGGCCAGAGCAGGGAGGGGTGAGGAAACAGGAGGGTGTCCAGAGACCACAGAAGTCTTTCAGGGCTTTGGGGCCAACCACAAAAAGGGACAAGTGGTCCCCCCTCCCCCCTCCAGGGGCTTCTAAAGTTGAGCTCACAAAGAAAGCTAGATGAGGACCTAGTCAGGCATAAAGCCAGGTCCTGGCTCAAAAGCCAAGGGCTGGATTCAGCTCTTACTCCATTAAAATGAGTGGGGCCCAGCAACCAAGTTCAAGAAACCCACAGGGAGGGAGAGATCATATGCATAGAGTGGACACTACCAGCTGTCTGGGCAAGAATATTTTATCTACTTTAGTTGGTTAAATTTACCCATTTTTAATCACAAAATAATACATACTACTATTAAAACTTTAATGAGGGGTATGAAGAAAAATACTTAAAAGCAAGCTACTCTTTCCTGTCTGAAGTATTGATCCTAATAGTTCGATGGAGGTTTTTCATTATAATTTCTATGATTACATAAACATATGAAATATTTTTAAAGTCTTTCGTACAAAAATGCAAACTCTCCGTCTCGCTACCCCTTCCAGTGTTTTATTGAAAATGAGTATAAACACAGCCTAACTCCTGGCAAATACATTAAGACATTTAACTCGTCCTTGTAAGCAGTTGTGCAATATTTTATATAAAGATTTACCATAATTTCCCACCCACTCCCTTGTTGGTAAATAGCCTCACGGATTTATTTTCCAACCAATTGCCCCGCCGCGCTCCCCGTGCAGGCGCCGGTGCCTCCGATGCTGGATTCGGGGCTCCGCCTACGCGCAGAAAA